TCCTGATTGTAGGTGTGCCAGGCAACCCGGGCAGTGTCGGTCCTGCTGGACCACTGGGCCCAACTGGCTCACCTGGCCCAGCTGGGAGCTCTGGACCTGCTGGACCAGCTGGTCCCCCTGGTAACAACGGCCTGAGAGGGGAACCAGGCAACACTGGTCCTCCTGGACCCCCTGGGAGTCCTGGAACTCCAGCTGCAACGAACCGCATCTCCTGCACTAACGTCTCCAGCAGAGGTGCCACCACGAGTTGCCCCACAGGTGAGAGGGATGTGTGTGTGGGGGGGGGGGGGGATTCTAGCACAGGATTATTTGTTTTGAGCCTTCGACACTTCACGTGGCCTCAAAGTGCACCTGGCCTGGCACAGTCACCGTGGTGACATCACTATCTCTTAGTGGCGAATAGCGGGTGTTGGTTTTGGTGGGGGGACATGGACCATTACGTGGATAAGTATCCTAGAGGATAGTGCCCCAGTCACTCATCGACTGCATTGATTCAATGGTTTGATTCGATCAGCAGGAAGTGATACAATGATAATGACTCTACTTCGGCTATACTGCAGTGTACTCATTCCCATGAATGTGTTGACGTGTATCCATACCCCCCACCCCCCACAGGTTACATCGCGTTGTCGTGCGCATGTGGAAGCGCGTGTGGTTCGTGGGACATCCCAAACGACAGCACGTGTCACTGCCAGTGCGGTGGGATCGACTGGACATCGGCGCGGTGCTGTCAGCTGGCCTGAGACGGATCGGCGGTGCAGATGGGAGAACAATAATTGTTCTGTGAAGTAGAGACGATTTTTTTTTATTAAATCTAATTTGATAGGATACTTCAACTATCTTTTTTTCCTTGGGACAGAATGCAGCACATTGCAAATGCAGAGAGCATCTATTTTCACCAAGTATCGTGCAGAAATGTAATCTCACAAGACATTTTTGCTGCTTAATTTCGTCTGCAAACCTCTGAAGTGATTTGTCGTTTATATGTCCCATGTGTTTATGAATAAAAAAAAATATATAGCAAAGTGTTGAACTTGACTACACAGATTTGTCTGTTGGTGCATGATAACATGTCTTTCTATGGATATATTTTTTAATGAACCAATATGGAAAAAAAAATCCGGATTTTATAAGATACCTGTCAACCCCTTATCAGTGCCTACCTTATTACAGAACAATTCAGACCTTATTGGTCACCCCGTGCCCTTATAAATCTCAACGTTCATCCGACAAAGTCCCATCACAAGGGAGAAACACAAACAAATAGACAAAAAAATGTCCATATTGAAAGGACTGCACGCTGTATGGACCTGAAAACTCAATGTCTCTGTACAAGAATACGGGTACACCATATGGGTTGACAGGTATGTTGTAAACACATATGCTGATTTTGGTGAAGCTCATTTCTATTGAGATAAATGACATTTGATTTTTCCTAATAAATGCTTGTTGATGTTACTTCGTGAATCTCTTTTTATTTAAAACCCTTGCCATGAGGCAAAAAAACAACAACCACGTGTGATTTGGTGGCTTTTTGAAACAATCCATTGGAGCAAAGATTGTCCAAATTCTGGCCAAAGCATTTCCCCCCCCCCATGATGGGCACTTGCAGAGTGACTCAGAGACACTAACAGTTAACACTTGGTAACCACGGCTCCCAGTCAGGGCAGCTGGTAGACTGCCTGACTGGCCACGCCGAGATGGTGAAGACGGAGAAGACGGTGAAGACTCCAGCAGCAGCACGACGGGATCCCACTCCACACGACAGCGCCGAGGTCCCCTACAGAGGCCCCTCTTATACTGTCAGCGTGGCCTGGCTCCGCCCTGGCCACGCCCCCCTTCTGGAACCTACCAGCGGGTTCTCTATGGGCCCTTTCGTAAACTTTCCCCTAGATCCCTCTCTGGTCTATCACGTGGCCTGCTGTCAGTCAGGGCTGCTGTAAGCTGCAGATCCCCTTCCCTGCCAGCAGCTAGCGCTATGCTGCTATGTGACCTATTCTATGTCACTACACTTGTACAATCACACTGCATGCAAAGTATATAATCGAGTGGTATCTAAAACACATTTGATGCAAAAATACGGTTCGCCTACACTGCCTAATCATAAAATTTCCAACGCACCATATGTGGGGCACCATGGTGGTGAGATGTTAACGACTTCGCCTGATATACAGGAGGTCATGGGTTCAATCCAGAACCTGACACGGGCTGTCTATTTTGAGTCTGCATGTTCTCCCCATTGTCGCGTGGATTTTCTCTGGGTCCTCTGGTTTTTCCCTGCTCATTTAGAATCAACATGCGATACGTTTCCACTATCATATGTGGCGAAGTCGCTTTTGAATAACAGCTCAGTGGCCCTTACCTGGTAAAATAAAAAAATATAGCCATGTCACATTTCTATATGTCATTTGCAATGCCCGCCGAGTCACTGCAAACAGCGGTCCATAATTCTCGTGACTCTCAATTAATCGACCCCTACAATTGTTTTTCTTTGCATATTCAATTTTCTTTAAATAAACCTCACTTAAGTTGTAGATACTTACGTATGGGGGTCACAGGACGTCTGGACCAGCCTGTGCAGTACTCTAGTAACGACTTGGCAAAGGCCTGCCAAGCTGCTAAGAGACGAACTGGGGGCGTACGTGACGGAGCTGGAATTGGCTTGAGTTTCTGTTGTTGTGCAGAAGTGGGGAAAGGTGCTGATTTGATGTTGGCTCAAAGAACGCGTTGTGAAGTCGTGTCGACTGCGAGCGCGTTCTCTGAGAGCATGGGGGGGGGGGGGGGGGTTTACTCACGCTATTCATTCTCTGAAGCCAGCAGCTCCGGCTTGCAATTTGGAGATTCGTTCAAAATTGCTGCTCAATGTATCTCCATACGGAAGGAAAAGTTGAGCATTTCCCGCAGCCCTGATGAGCACGGTTGGCTACGTACGGTGCGAATAAAGTTTAATGTACATACCATAGTCGTAGTAGTTGAGGAACAAGGCACATATGATTTGGTAGAACCTTCTAGAAGGTTCGGGCAAGATCAAGGAAGCAGAACCAACACCTTTATATATATTTAAGTATATACAGGGCACGTTTGAACTCGAAAACAACCTGTAGAGAAAGACAGATGCCGATTGCTGCCTTGATAGAGACTACAGTCAGGGAGAGTAGGGAGACTCAGAATTTTGTCCTTGGAAAGTTCGGTTTATTGTTCAGATGGTCAGACATGGGTCTCTGCATAGACGGTTCGTGCATTGCGGTGTTCTTTGTGGTTAGAGATGTCCTGTCGTTTGATTCTTGCCCGTGGTGATATGTTCAGGAGTGGAATGGTAAATGTTGAGGTCTGCTCGGCACGACAAGAAGGCCTCAGGAGAGTCTTGACTAGTTTTGCTATTTCTCACACGTGGGAGGAGTGCGGGCGACCTTGTTTCACGATACGGCCCACAGTTTGGGTTGCATGGCCACAGTCGTTCTCTGGCTTGTCCTTTAATAGCTCACTGGTCAACACACTTTTTCTGGCACAAGGTATTCCAACGGTTTTAATGTAATTTGCTGATTCCAAATCTGGCATCAGTTTTTGTCCTATCACATAAAGTTTTTGAGATATCAAATATTGCATTTTCAATAAAAAACTGCAGAAGAAAAATATTAAATAAATGTGGATATCTACATAAAATGATATTATAAACACACTATCCTAAAAATACAGCACCATATTTTAACACTAAAGCAGTCACTGACTCGCAAACAACTTGCAATCATAAGTGACAGAGTTAATTTCGGGTAAAATCAATGAAAATGGGGTATGCCGATAGCATAAAAATGAGATGTGATAGAGCAAATCTGAGAACAGATTTGGAATCAGCACCCTGAAATTAGTCTAAAACTGCAAAAGTCCAGGCCAGAATTTTTTTTTCTTTTTGTTGACCAGTGTAGTTCTCGTTAGAGCAGTGCAACTCTACACAACGTAATTTGTTTAAGCTTTTAGTTTATTCTTAAGCCTGTTTATAGGCTGCATTTCTCAATTTCACAGTCCCTATTCTAGCTCCTGCCTCCGAAAGAAATCTAGACTCTGTTGTATGTAGGGTGTCTATGCCTACAAAATACATTTGGGGGGTGGGGAAGTTAAAAATGTGTTTGCGTGGGTCGACAATTTTTGGAACACTGTTGGATCTACGACTTTTTACCCCCACATCTGGAGGCGGTGGGGGGATGTCGTCCACTTTTTAGAACTTATAATTTCGTTGACGGGAAAAACGGAACGCCGGGCTTGTATAACAGATTAGCTTAGGCTCATCTTCAAAGTGATTTTCCACGCTTGTGCAACCATTGTGTCAAGTCATTACAAATTGTACAGTGTGTGTATAGCTTAACAAAGACGGTGAAGCAATGTTGTTTGACTGGATTTGCTAATGATAAGGAAACTCGCCAGCCAATGGATCTAATGTCATAAATTGACTCCCCCCCCCAGTTGTAAACTTGAATGCCTTTGCAAATCCTAGGCTTGCAATAGACTGTAATTACTACATGCCTGGACGATACACATTATCATCCACGTGTATGGCATTCCATGAACATCCATATCTGAATTTTGACTTAAAACTTTCGTGACTACAGGAATTCATATTCTTTGGTTCTTTTGGTAAAGTCACGTTAATAAAAAAAAAGTGAATTAAAATATTTATATATTTATATATTTTTTCACTTTATTTGTATTATTTTTATCTACGCGACTTTACCGAAATAACCAAAGAATACCCATATCTGAACGTAGCCGAATATGCTGTTTGTCGTACCTGCTTATAAGAAGCTGGTAGAATGTAGGCGTTTACGACACTGTGTGTTCTAATCGCTCAGTTATTTCCAACAAAAAAATGCCTGGCATGGTCCTGCCAAGTCACTCAAGTTATGGATCCTGCTGATGAGACATTTTCCCGTAAACATCCTCCCCCTCACCCCTCACAATTGATAAACGATCAGGAATTCCCCAAGGTTCTCTGTTAAATATTCGCCTCCGTGCTATAGAGGCACTACAATTGCGTTGCTATATTAGTTTTTCGTCTGTTGCTGAGCAGGGGAAAGATGAAGTTGCTATACAGCCTGACACTGTGGTTGCTGCTAGCCTTTGCCTTTGCACAGGCGCATGCAACTGACGACCGCCAAGCGGAAAAGGTAAAAATATGATGGATGGTAAAGATTCGTCGACCTGGTAAACGTGCGGTGTTGGGCCAGCGTTGGGCTCACGTTTTTACTCGGGATGCACATTGAACTCTCGTATATGTGGGGAGAGTTACATATGCGGTGAATACTGTACTATATTACCTGTATAAACACGCCGATACATTGTGCGATGAGAACATTGCAAGTGGTATAAGATAATTATGTATTGGGCTATATTAATATTTAAACTATAGTCCTGCATTCGGTTGCACAACTCGTTGAATAGTTTTGCAACTTCATCTGTCGTGTAATGAGCAGATAATCACAATCATAAATATAACCATGATCAGAAAAATAAACGCCTCTTCGGATTTGTATTTGCCACTCGTTATGTAAATTAAATTGAGCAATTCGTAAATGGATTTGCGAATACAATTTACGGTGCGTAATACTGTAAATCATTAAAACCTTCACGTGTGAGAGCTTGGATGTCTACTTGTAGTTGTTATAAATTCGAAATGTGATTTTGTTTCTGAACAGAGGCAACTGGAAGAGCTCCTACCCAAAATATGCAGGTAACGAGACTGAGCATGGAAGCACCGATTTCGGTTCCATAGGACATGGCAAATGCATCATTGCCATTATTATTCTCGCACCTACGATTAGTACGGGTTGACTAAGTACGGTGCGAAAGAAGTTTAATAAATGTATGACGTACAAACTCTCGTTAACCCAGGAAAGCCTCACACTGAGGCTCAGTAGTATGTTTCAGGAGTGGCTTGTTAAGTATTCACAGTGGGGGGAGGGGGGTATGGGGGGGGGCGATGTTGCTGCTGCTGTGTGTAATCAAAAGAGAGTTATTTGCAGACAGTGTTTTCAATTTCCCGAGTGTCTTCTTCTTTTTCCACGCGTTTGTCCCACTCATGTGGGGTCCCCTGTCCTTGCCAACCTTCTCCGCAACTGCCCTGTCCTGCGCCATCTCCCTTTCCGCTCATCAGGCCACCATGTCCGCACCACATCGCCCCACCTCTTCTTCTGCCTTCCTCTTCATCTCTTTCCTTCCACTTGCATCACTCGCCACCTTCTGACCCACATACTTTCCCTGTTGTCTCTCCACGTGACCGAACCACACGGGCCTTTTCTCACTCATCTTCTCTGTGATGTCTACCACATTGTGAATCACAGTCATATTTACATTTTTTCACTATACTTCTAAACCTGTGTGTGCTTGTAGCATTTATTATGGATTATCCTCATGCCCACGAGGAATACCGGGAAAGGATGGAGAGACTGGACCAAGAGGTAATTTTTGTGGGTCTTGCTTAAAGTAAGATCACTTGAATTTTGATTTAAAGCTTTCGTGACTGCAGGGATTCATATTCTTGGTTCTTTCGGTGAAGTCACGTAGAAGGGAAACAATAAAATAATAAAAATATAAAATAATAAAATAATCACACCTGATGATGATTGCTTGTGTTGCGGTCGAAACGTCGTAAGAATTTTATTGTTTTAAATTTTTATTATTTTATTGTTTCCCTTCGACGTTACTTTACCAAAAGAACCAAGAATAAGATCACTTGGTCATACTTTCGCCAACGCTATTGTTCTTAACTGTCGCTCAATCGATCCCAGTTATGAAATTTCATATTGCAATTTGCTTGCACATCCTAGCAGTTAAACTGCCTGGAAATCGAGCAGGTTTGCATAGACCCGATGAATAGATTGTTGGCAACTTAATTATTGCTAGCGAGTATAAAAGTGTCGCCATCTATTGTAAAATCAAAGGAAACACCTTCAACGTGTTCCACAAGTGTAGGCCATTGATTACTGTTATAATTGCCTACAGCTATTGAAAACTATGGTCACTTACACCCAGACCATGCCGGTGTGTCCTGATTGTAGGTGTGCCAGGTGACCCTGGCAGTAAAGGCCCTCCAGGAAAACTGGGTCCAGCTGGCCCAGCTGGCTCACCTGGCCCAGCTGGGAGCTCTGGACCTCCTGGACCAGTTGGTCCCCCTGGTAACAACGGCCTGAGAGGGCAACCAGGCAACACTGGTCCTCCTGGACCCCCTGGGAGTCCAGGCACTCCAGCTGCAACGAACCGCATCTCCTGCAGAAACGTCTCCAACGCAGGTGCCACCACGAGTTGCCCCACAGGTGAGAGGGATGTGTGATTGTGTGTGCGGGGGGTCTCTGTGGTGCATCACGTGAATTAATATCCTAGCGGCGAGTGCCCTTGTGATGCATAGACTCTGCACGCAGGCGGTGATTTACTTCAATCAGCAGGAGGTAATTTTTGGGGGGAATTGCAAAAGGATATTGCCCGTGGAAAACCCCATGTGTGAAAGGATTGTGCGGTTGCAACCTTCTAAGATTCATCTTACTGTCGGTTGTATAGCAATCAGAATGTGTCTCTGCGAGCCCTAATCGATGAGGCAATGGACAATGATGAATCATATATTTCCATCCAAGTCATGTTATTGGTTATTACTGCTTGTTAACTTGAGTAGAGGCAATAATTGACTCTTCTTTGCCCAAACCAAACATATTACCATCTTTGCCACTTGTGTGCATGTCTCCCTTGGCAGAGAGTTTCAATGTAAGATATCCTGATCTTTCTCATAGGGAGGGTGGGGAGGGGTTCAATTCAATGTTCATGACGTCACCTCCGATGGCATCACCCCATAATGTGCACTGTGATCAGCATCTATCATTGTTCCCCCGCAGGGCACATAGCAGTATCGTGTTCGTGTGGAAGCGCGTGTGGTTCGTGGGACATCCCAAACGACAGCACGTGTCACTGCCAGTGCGGTGGGATCGACTGGACATCGGCACGGTGCTGTCAGCTGGCCTGACACTGATCGGCAGTGAAGATGGGAAACGATCGTAGAGAAAGCAAACTAAAATGATCAACACGAAACAGAGAGAACACCACAAAGTTGATTGGCAGTCGTAGACGTGCTTTGTTTTCTTAAACACATTTTTCTAATATTATTTTTTTAAATTTCCCATTAAACCAAATGCTGCACAAAAATATGAATGCAGAAAGTATATGTCTTCACTAAATGGTGCAGAAATGTAACGTTAGAAATGAATGGATGTGATTTCACGAAGGTACGTTGCCCAAATTGTTTTGTGTGATATATCGTGCAAGGAAATGCACGTGAGGAATGTGAGTTTTTGTGATTTAATGATATTTGTTTTTGCTTTCCATTAGGACTACCCAGCTCTAAAGTGAATTGCAGATTCCATGTCCCATGTGTGTTTATGAATTTAAAATATATTTACCATGTGGTTTACCAAAAAAATTATTTATCCATAGCTCCATTCAAAATATCTGGATTTATGTAAATTTGAACGAACCAATTCAGAGTATAGTTGGGATGATGTTTAGTTGCTGTGCAGTATTACACAGTCATTTTGGTGTGGTATTATGGTACACAAATGGTGTATACTTTTATCGATGTATCGCAGAACACAATAAATGGTTTGCTGAGTTTATTTGAATATTTTAGAATTTTTTTGTCCTGCTCCCACCCTTTCGCCAATGCACTTTGACCAGACTAGCGAAGTATGGTAAAACAAATCCCCTCCCCCAAGCATACAGACAGTATTATCAGATTGTATATGTATGTACTGTATGCTGAACTTCTTTCGCACCGTACATAGGCAACCGTGCTAATCGGAGGTGAGAGGGAAGGACAACAAACTAAACACAAACATCAGTTCTAAAGAAATCAGTTTGTAAATCTAGATTATGCAAAAGTGCATAGCTTCAGTGGCTTCCTAATATCAGAAGGAAGAGCGTTCCAGACGGCCGCAGAGCAACAGGTTGTGTAGAACAAATTCGCAAAACAATTCGAGATATCTGATGGAAGGACAATACTTAAAAACACAGCAGAGTGTGTGGACCGGCATCAAAATGGTGATGTGAAGAGGCAGACGAGGGCAGGTTGGAGAGATTTGGGATAATTGAACATCTTAATTAAAAGTAAACTTACCCTTGTGCCTGAAAAAGACACTTTTGATCGCTGCATACTCCCTTCTCTGACATATGAACCAGAAACACGGTCATAAATAAAACAAAATGTAGAACAAAACCGTAAAAGTGCGCAAAGAAGCATGAGGAGATATCGTGCACATTTTTATGTTGGGCATCGCCACAATGCCCCCACGTACAAGACCCAGCCACCGCTCTGCTCAACGTACAATTCAGCAATGCACAAGAACGATACAATTGTAGTGTAGCAGCGCCGACTGGCGACCAGGGTAGCAATTGCGAGTGTACCCACCCAAAAGGAAGAGCTGGGGGCAAGGCTCATGGAAGGGATAATGAATGGACCAACAAGGGTCGTGGAAGGGATCCATCTTGTGGCTCCAAGAACCAGTTAGAAGGTTCCAGAACGGGGGGGCGTGGCCAGGGCGTGGCCCGGCCCCGCTGGAAGTATAAAAGGGGGGCGAGAGAGAGGGAGCTCAGGGCTGTCCGTGGGAATCGGGCTCGTCTTGTCGTCGCTGCCGTCCTTGGTCATCGTCCGACGTCGCCACTGCTGGACAATTAGCCAGCTATCTAGTCAGTCAGCGCCGTCGTTGCCAGGCGGTCCGTGTTGTGTGATGCGCTAGTGAGTGTAACAGCGTGAGTTATGAGAAATAAATAAGAAGGTGGCCCTATAGTTATTGTCTCTGGAGTCGTACACTCCACAATCAACGTGATGACATCTCGGGCTTGGTGTGATAGAATCGAGGTGATGGATTCAATGGTCCGTCCATCCACCCCCTGCCCACGCCAGAGATGTCCCTGAGTGAGGAGAGTGTTTCTGTGGGGTGTTTCCAGGGATAGTCACGTTTTTCTCTCTCGGCTCAGGCGCTACGAGGTTCACACCCAGGTCTGCGGTCATGTTCTACTCTTGAGTCTCCGTGCCGACGAGAGCTCCGCTCCATGAGTGGGATAGCCGAGGGACATCCTCACTATTTTGTCTAGGGGGCCGTCCATAAATGACGTCACGCGATTTTGGACGTTTTTTAACCCCCCCCCCGTCGTCGTCACATGGCGTCACAAAAAGTCAGACCCCCCCCTCAAATATGACGTCACAAAGCTCTGCCTCCCCCTCCAAAAAAAATTATTCAAATCGCTTTAAACTATTGTCATTGTAGTGCGTATTTAATGTGGCGCTGCACTCTGATGTTGTAAACGAGTCACTGCTGTGGCGTATGAACATCGCCACTGGGGAGACAAAGGCGGCCTAGCGTCGTCGATCCAAGACCCGGGCGAAGCCGGGTAGTAAAGCTAGTATTTATTTAAAGTTGCGTCACATTTCTCAACCCCCCCCTCCCCTTATCACACATCGTCACAAATGTCTGACCCCCCCCCCTATGTGCGTGACGTCATTTATGGACGTCCCCTAGCTTCTGTTTCGTATCGCCCCATCAAGAAACAACTTTCTCCTGTCGGTCAAGTGGCTTCAACGTTACTGGGCGAGCATTTGTTTTTCAAAAACTTTATTTGGCAATACCGGCATCAGACGAGAGAGGGCGGCCGAGCTCCGTCGCGATCATGGATTCAAGGCTGCCGTGAGATGTCAATGTGAGCGCACAGAACATTGCAATATTAAGAGGCAGGGTCGGATCCATTATTTTTTAAATCCCACCGAAAAGTGCTTCACTGCTGTCGTCTGTCCAGATGAAAAAAAACAACAACACGAAAGTCGTGGGATGTTAGAGACTCCCACAGGCTAGATTGTGTGTGTAAGCACTTCATTGTCATCTGCACTGATCTACTCCTGGATGGAGATGTGGGTGTATTCGCTGCTGGACTATACGCCAGCAAAGATAACGGAACCAGTATTCAATGCAGGAATTATTCGGTGAAGTCACGTATAAAGATAAAATAATAAATGCTATTTTTTAATTTATTATTTTATCTTTATACGTGACTTCACCGAAAGAACCGAAGAATAATTCCTGCAGTCACGAAAGCTCCAAAATTAAGATTCAACGCAGGATTAATAATACTTGTAGGGATTACTTTTCGACCAAGATTAATTATAATTTCATCCCGTGTTTTCATCTTGTATAATCCGTACGTGGTTTCACTCCCCATCAAGTAGGGTGTTTTAGAGCTGCCTAAAATATATAAAAAAACGAATACATTTAAACTTTTGCCTTAGAGCTCACAAAGTATATTTTTTAACCCTCAATTTAGTGCGGGATGAAAACTATCCCAAGCCGCGTTGGTCATGGCAATCGTTTGACCGCACGTGACCATGCCGAACAGCGTTGTGTTGGTGGAGTGCCCCCAGGATGGGCGTCACGGTGGCGAGATGTTAACTACCTCGCCTGGTATACAGGATATCGTGGGTTCGATCCACAACTCTGACGCCTGGTGTATATTTGAAGTTTGCATGTAGCTTTCCGTGATTGTGTGCATTTTTATCCGGGTCCCCTCCACATTTAGAAAGAACATGCATTTAGAGTATTTGGTTGCAATACATTTCCACGTGAAAAGCCACTTGGTTGAGCTTTCATTTGTGGCCAGGTCGCTTGTGAAAAAGAGTTATATAGCTCAGTGGGCCTTAACTGGTAAAATAAAAAATAGTTCGTTTATAGGTTAGCACGTAGGCTTTCGCGACCAATATCAATAGTACAGGGTTTTTTTTGGGTTAGATCACGTAAAAGTTAGTTTATAGTTAATAGTGTAGTTGAAAAACGTTAGCAGTGGCCAGGAACTTAAACTCGGGTCACTGGGTTCACATAGCAGGCCACTCACGGCCGCTGCAACAACCTCTCCACCCACCAAAAACAATATCCAACAATAAGTTATATTCGAATGTTAACAAAAAAAAACCCCAAATGTTTAACTTTTACGCGCGTGAGTAATTGTGCCACGCCAAGGTACACAGCGTAACCACAAATTGTAAAATTCTGTTTAATCGTAAAACGTCGAGTAGCTCGATTTACTCTGTCAACGCAACTGACATTCCTTTCAGGCTCAACGCATTTGTGAATAACACCGTACTGCAGAGGCAAAAAAAAAATGTCTGCAGTAGGTGACGTTTCTGGAAATGCTATGAAGAAGGGGCATTGCCACCCAGTACAGTAAAGTTGTTGTCCTTTTTAGGGTGGTGTTTTTGACAAATCTGTGCTCGTGCACCACCGCCAAAACATTGTTTTCGTGACATTCCTCAAAAAAAGTACTTGGACAATATTAACAGTCGATCAAATGTACATTCTTGTCCTCGTCAAAAAAACACGAACCACCCTTTAAACAAAACATAGCCGTGAGGCATTCCTCTTGCGGGTAGGTAGGTGGGTGCACCTGCGCGCGCAGATCTCACACGATGCGTTCTGCACCGCTGAGCGTGGCACACCTGACCCTGGACTCATACCACGGTTCCATTTAAACCAACGGCTTCACGACAGAGGTCGCAAACGGGTTTTGATTCCTTAGCCGTACCCGTACCCGGCTGCACCAGGGTCGCAAATGGGTACCCGTACCCGGCTGTACCCGTACCCTACCCGTACCCTGCTGGGTACGGGTAGGGTATGGGTATCGGGTACCTGATTGCGACCTCTGGGATGAAGCCATGTTGCAGGCGCGGGTGGGTTGATTCTAGGAACTTGAATTGTGAGAAGAGACAAGACGTTGGGAAATGAGTGACAAACAGTTACTCACAAGTGACTCACGGTCTACCCGTACCCGTACCCGGCCGCACCAGGGTCGCAAACGACTACCCGTACCCGGCCGGGTACGGGTAGCCGGGTATCGGGTAGGGTATTATGTACCCGGTTGCGACCTCGGCTTCACGACCCCCACCCCCGTCAGGTGCAGCCTCTGGACTGGTGGAACCGGAACGTGGTTTTTATGGCGGGAAACCTCCACTCCTCCCCCACCACTCTGGAAACAGCAGTTGAAATGTGGGCGTCAAAATAAAAGGGGAGTTATATAGAAAAAGTAAACAGAGGGGAGATACGGGGCACAGGCGATTAAAACATACCGACGTTCACTATACAACCTCGGCTCAATGAGAGGAGTATTGAATTGCACCGTAAACACACATATTTATATACGGTACAGCCTTTTACTAATCGACTGCTGGAGGAATTTTGAAAATATGTTTTTTTACATTTTATTTAAAACTAACGGGAAGTACCCGGCGTTGCCTGGGTCTTAAAACTATTTAAAAGCTACTCTTTAAAATATAACAGCAGTGCGTACTGACTGTGGTGGTACCTGCTATGATTACAGCAGTGCATACTGTGGTGGTACCTGCTATGATTGCAGCAGTGCATACCGACTAAGGTGGTACCTGCTATGATTACAGCAGTGCATAATGACTGTGGTGGCACCTGCTATGATTACAGCAGTGCATACCGACTTTGGTGGTACCTGCTATTACTACAGTAGTACATGCTGACTGTATAGCAGTATTTATCGACTCTATAGCACAATGTACTCATCTGACAGAGTGGCATGGTGAGGCCTAGTCCCGTGCAGAGCCTCCG